CGGTGTCACAGAGACTGGCCAATAGCCAACATTTGTTTGGGAGGTTGATCGGCTGTGCTTGGCAATCTTATCGGGATTTGCCCAGCAAACTTTGCGACTTATTTTAAAGTGCCACACAATCAACACAGCAGTTAAAATGACAGCTACAAGAATGAAGATGATGAGCAACTTCATGAATGTAGATATACCCTCTTGATGTAAAGTAACGTCTTTGGTGGGTGCAGAAGTACCAAGCTCCTCATCCTCTTCAAGTGCAAACGTTAAACTCTTGCGGCATTCCTTTGTTTCTTGATTTACTTCATCATCAGGGTTGCACAGTGGCAAACATTCACCACCATCACAATGACAATACATTGAACAGTTGGGGCAAAATTTGTTGAAAGGTTCTTGGCATCCTTTCTTGCAATTCTTGCTACACAGTTCAGAGTCAGCTGGAGTGATATTACGGTGGTCTTCACAAGTACCATAAAGCCTAATGGACCACTTTTTAAACTCTCCCATTACACCCTTGGTATCAGTAACCTCTATCTTCCAGGTTCCCACTGGGTTTTCACCCCAGCTAAACACAGTCATGAAGGGCCAGTTTTGGAAGCCATCGCTTGAATAATCCCTATCCCTAGGAGCCAAGAGCTCCGACCGAGTACCAGCGGGTGATGTTAAAACAATTCGCAATGATCCCCGGGATTTATGATTCAGCGTGACATACACTCTTACATGTTCAAGTTTCATAACACAGTTTGTCTTTCCTGCACAACCGGTGCTAACAATCGAAGATGTCAAAGTCCCTCGAGCAGGAATTTTCAGGTTGTCAGTATGATCTCGCTCTCGGCACATGTGCTGCTCAGTAGCAGTTTTCCAGCTGGGAGAAGTAGCAGCTGTTACCAGAGCAGCAGTGTCTAGAACCCCAAAACCATACTTGTGGTTAACATTGTGCCCAGCACCATTTTTCTGCCAACCTTTGTCTGTGCGATCAGTCATTTGTGAGGTGTTGACTACAAGATGCTGCAGATCCCTCCAGCTTAGTTTTGGATTAGCTTCCAGCACCAAGGCAAATATACCTGAAATGAAAAGAATGCAACTTTGATTTACAATGTGTACAAGTTAAGGGAACAAAAATAAAATAGGACAGTAAATTAGCTTAAGACTTTTGAGCCCAAGCATTAAGCAACAACGAGTATACAAGCTGTTAAATAACTTCTCCCCTGGATGTAATGGACTGTAATTTTCAAGTCACAGATGGATGCATAATGTAAAAAGAAATTCCCACATAATTTAACCGTACTGTTAGACCCCCAAAATGATTTTTTTTGGATATAAAAATATGATAAATGGTTATATTGAGCTTTGTAACACAGGTAATATACTATAAACATCATACGTGAAGAGATTCAATCAATTTATGTCTTGAGATATGGTGCACTCCATGCCTAAAATTGCAATATCAAGGTTGTGTACAGAAGAAGAATCAGTTTACCAGCAAATGCAGTGCAAATGATAAATTTTATATTCTGACTTCTGAACTGCTGATTCTCAATCCAAAGCTGTTTCTTTATTTAAACTAAAGGCTGAGGATATCAGTGGATGCCTTGCTTTTCACAGTACAGAGCTTTGTTTGTAAGATATTAGAAATGTTTTGAAATTTGTGATGGCCTGGCCCTCTATGTTTAAAAAATATGATAGACTCAATATAGTTTGCACTATTTTTAATTTCAGGCACAACAAAAATTTAATCTTACAGTTCAAATTCCGCAGATGCAAGTACTGATATTGATAAAAAAAAAACTGTTTGAAGCTGTTGTGTTAGAGTACTAATAGAGAATACTAACATCAGACCTTGTACATATATACAGACAAACATAATGCAGAAATTTCTAATTAGAGTTATAAAGAACACTGTGGTCACAAGAAACAAGCTGATGGCTTCTGTTTTTTTCTAACCACCAGTACATACTTTCCTATATTCTTTTGAGTAACTATTTTTAAGCTGTTTGTGTTCAAGCAAACATTTATTTTTCTAATATTGACAGCAATGATCAATATTACAATACGTTCACTTTCCAATTTGCTATATATTTACCGAGTAACACAATAAACTTGTGGCCAAATTTTGAAAATGTCACACTAGCTCAGAAATGGACTGCAATGAAAATGATGTACACTAAACTCTGAACTACAAGTACATGTACACTGGACTAATTGAATTCAAGACAAAATACACAACTTTGTCAAGTCTTATCACATTTTTGGAAGAGTCCAGACGAGGAGCATAAACATAAGAACATATCTTAGAAGAACAAATCCTATACACCTAGAAAAAGTATTTTATAGTCTTGTATCTACATGTATTCTTGCAAGAGTATTTCTTATATTCTGTGCAACCTATTGCTTATAAGTATGTTCTTTCCAATTTCTTTTCTCAATCCAGAAAATGTTCTACGTTACAGATAATGGAATGTGTTCTGGCTAGCCCTACTCCAGAGCATATTCCTGTATACTGTTCATCATACAAAGAATACCCCTCCTCCACCCACCCCTCAACTTGAAAGCATCACATACATATAGCAGATGCAGGTAAACATGGCTGATCTGTGAATTCTGAGAGAGAAAAACAGACCTGCATCATAACAGGGTAGACAGTTGGAGAGTGACAAACCTGCAGCCAAAGGAGCAGCGGCTGAAGTCCCTGTGTGGCTTTTTGTGCAAGAGTGATGTAAATCAGTTGTAACAATCTGCTTGTCTTGTCGGCCTTGCGTTTCGCCACTGCTGTAGGTAACAGCAAGAGTTGATGGACAAGGTTCAGCATACCACGGAGACTTGCCACGATCATTGACAGCACCGATAGACACAGTGAAAATGCTTGTGATATAACCATCACAGCTGCAATAGTCATCATAATGTCCACCATTACCTGTCGCCCAGACAAAGATGGCTCCTAGCCCACCACGTCCTTTTCTGATACCTGTTACAATACAAAAATTTTCTGAGTTAACAGCAGCTGATTTCGGATGATTGTCAAAATACTTTAACAAACGTAAACACATGTAATTGTAATTCTCCCAAAATTTTCAAGTGCTTTAATCCACAACACTGTACATAGACAAAATATTCACTATTTCTTTAAGAAAACACTGCAAGGAAAAGAACAGAAAATCACTTAGTAATTGAATGTGCATAATGATTTTCTTGGCCTCTGCCAGTATTACTGTCAGTACCTATTGTAAAATCTGTGTTTCTATCAATACAGTAGAATGGCCTTTAGCATGAACTTTATTAAAGTACATTGATTTTTTCTAGCAATAGAATTTTGATTTTGATACCTTCTCTAAAGGCTTTCTTGGCCATAGGGCCAGGGCCATCTACAGTACGGCCATCATCATCAGGACCCCAGCTGCTACTATAGATGTCAATGAAGTCTCTAGCCAGGCCTAACGACCACGCCTCAATGGCATCGGTGACATCACCATCAAGCATTCGCACACCTCCTATGCGCGAGTTATAGGCTACACCTACTCCACACATGTTGTTGTTGACACTGGCTGCGACTTCACC